TAGAGTTTAACTCTTTTGTTGATGCAATTTGGTGCCGAACGTGCTCTTTGACGACAGCGTTGCGTCGCAAGTGCAGAGTCAACCTGCTTGACAGATTTTTCTCTTAAACCGCTACCTAAAGTTTACATGTATATTAACTACGATGCGCCTACATCCCACGTCTACCAAACGTCCTCAAAATATCTACGATACCACTAGCCATGACTGCATTAACTGTATAATTTGTAATCATACGAGTAAAAATCAACAACGATATTTCAACAATAACACGTTCCTACAAGCGAAACGTCCCGTTGCCGAAATATACAGATCGGAGTTGGGATACACATATTGTTGAAAATAGTGATATCAAAAGACGTTTTATATATATATGTATAAAGAGAATATGATCATGCGGAGAAATGTATATAAAAACAAGTAGGAAAATAATGGGCAAAATCCGCAAAAAGGAGGAAAGTGGATCCGAGCAGAAAATAGGATAGGTAACCCGAGCGATACGTATTTCTGCTGGTTGGCTTCATCAGGCCCGAAATGAAAAAAAAACCACCGCGTGGTGGTGGTTAGACGTCTCCTTGAAAATTCGAGGTCGTATAGTCATTTTAGACTACAATGTGTAGGTTGGCTCTTGTTGTGGACTTCGTGTGTCGTTTTTTTTTCCTCCAACTTCGTTTCCTCAGGTTGCACCCGTATCCGGATGTGTGGGCATGTGTATCTACTTTTGTAGTTTCATATATGCATTCATTTCGGGCCCGATGAAGCCAACCAGCAGAAATACGTATCGCTCGGGTTACCTATCCTATTTTCTGCTCGAATCCACTTTCCTCATTTTTGCGGATTTTGCCCAGCATTTTCCTACTTGTTGTTATATATGTATATATATATATATTTGAAGTTATTAAGAATCTACATTGAAAATGTAAGCTACAACGTATTTTCAGGGTAGGTCACTATCTCAAAAATGTTTCTCAAAAAATCACAATTAAGGAAATCTCTTAAAAGTGACAATTCAAATTTAAATACATTAGAAGTGTAACGGAAATTTCAAAATGGTGAGTAGCTCAAAAAGATCTTCTTCCTCATAGTGTAAGGATTAAAATATCCATTTTGCTATGCCACTGATATCTGACGCTTATCTTGTGACTGTTTCTCCGAGCAATCTCTGTATTCTGCTGGAAAAATGATAATTTTGTATTTTCAACAAGACAGCGGATGTCACCGAAATTCTGTAAATATTTATTTCTACATCTGCGATCTCTTTTGGCGGCAAAGAGAACATTACAATTCCCATGGACGCAGCTTAAGCCTGAAATTTTTGACTGTATCGTTACTGTATATACAATTATACCTTCATCCGGTCCTGCTTCCTGGCTTTCCCTTCATCATCCTGTATCTTGATATACGTCTACGTTAAAGCCCTTGCTTATCTGGAATTTCTGCGTTACTTTACACATACTTTAAGCCGTACACTAACGCCACTGTTTTTTGAACCACCCTGTATATTCATGATCTCCATGTATGTGTTCGGCACACACCTTGCATACACACACGCCAAGCCAAGCGTTCGAACCCGATCACTTGAAAGAAAGAATAAATGAATTGGTAATTGCTAGATACGCCCATGCATTAATAAGCAATTCGCTTTAAGTGTTGCATTTTAACGAGGCATTATTCAGTCGTGGCTGAGATTTTGTAAGGATGTAGTCGTGCGCGGAAGATGCAACGCATTTCGGTCGTCAGGAAGTAACTCCATAAAAATAGCTCCGCGTAATAGGAATCTAACGGGTGAGTATGTTTCTGACTACGGTATTATTGACGAGGTATACTAAGGGACATATAAATCCGAACACCCAGTTTAAATGGTTTTATTTTAATAAAATTTTATATAAGTACTTAATGAAGCATAATAAGTAAATGATAAAAATTTCAAAATGATTGCACTGCTTTAAAGCCCTTTGACCTTTAATAATGTGTAGATGCACCCTGATGTGCTACGCATTCTCCAACGCGCCTAGGTATGCTTCTGATCAGGTGGTCAATGTCCTCCTGTGGTATCTGATTCCAGGCAACCACCAACTCCTTTCGAAGTGCTTCTAGAGTCTGAGGAGGACGTTGCAAATTGAGCAATCTCCTACCCATCATATCCCACACGTGCTCAATTGGGGATAAGTCGGGAGATCTTGGTAGCCATGGTAACAATGTGACATCATTGTGTTGAAAGAAGTCTATTGTGACTCTTGCAACATGTGGTCGGGCATTATCTTGTTGGAAAGTTGGATCTGCCAGGGTGTCAAGATAGGGTAAAAGATGGGGTTCTAGAACTTCGTGGATATAACGCTGCGCGTCCATGTTACCTCTGATGAAGATTAAAGGTGACCTGGGACCATAAACAATAGCACCCCAAACCATAACTCCAACAGTGTGATGAACATGTCTTTCAACAAAAAACTGTGGATTCCTCCTTTCACCACGTCGCCTTCTAACCCTGGCACGACCATCGTGCATGACTTAACAAAATCGAGACTCGTCACTAAAGACAATACTGTTCCATTCCTGATCTCAGAGTGACCGTTGTCTGCACCACTCAAGGCGATTACGTCGGTGTTCTCGAGTTAAATGGAGGACCCAGTGTGTCCGGTATGAAAACAAGCAAAAAAGTTCTCATTCGTCGGTAACCACTTCGCATGCCAATAGGTCTTCCGTGTTCTGCAAACCATTCATTTGCAATGGACCTGGTAGTGGAGAACCGGTCCCTTAAGGCCAATAATCTTAGGCGGCGATCTTCACGGTCTGTTGTTCTACGGCGGCATCCAGTGCCCCTTGCTCTTTGCGTACGGCCTTCTCGAAGCCATGCCTGACAACACCTAACCACAGTGTCTACACTTCTTTGCACTCTAACTGCAATTGCCCGAAAAGAAAGTCCAGCTTCCCGAAGTCCCACTATACGGCCCCTATCAAACTCACTAAGTTGACGAAATCGTACAGGTCTCCGTACTCTAGGCATCGTAACCGATCGTGAAGGATGTCAAGGACCAAAATCCGCCAACGTCGATTCTTTACTGCGGCTGAAATATTCATTTTTAGAGCGTTAGTGAATTAAAAAAAAAGCAGTACAAAAACCGGAATGTCCAACTGATAAGGCTGAAAATTTTTTCACTTGTTACTTACAGTAAGATAAATACATTCACCAACTTTTATTAAAATAAAACCATTTAAACTGGGTGTTCGGATTTATATGTCACTTAGTATATAATTCAGGAAAGTTGTTTCTAGGAAAAATGAGCCCTCCAACAATATTTTGATATACCAACTGTCTCGTTATGTTTAGTGTTGTCGAGATGCTTTGAAAAATGTCGCAAATTACTGAAATCTGCATTGCAATATCGATTAAAAAATACAGAGAACAAGTAATAAAAAAAGAAGAAACGCCCTAAACTGGAAGCCGAAGTTTGTATTGAATCAAGCTTCAACACCTGTTTTTATTTTATTTTATGTGCGCGGAACGTCAGTAAAGTAATTAATTTACCATATGCAGTTGTTTACCAATAAAGGAAGATGTACACAATGAGCCGTATTCATAAAACAAAGGATATCCTTGTACTTTCAAATTTTGAAGGAAATCCTCCAGATGGTATTTATAATATACTAAGTGACATATAAATCCGAACACCCAGTTTAAATGGTTTTATTTTAATAAAATTTTGCATAAGTACTTAATGAAGCATAATAAGTAAATGATAAAAATTTCAAAATGATTGCACTGCTTTAAAGGCCTTTGACCTTTAATAATGTGTGGATGCACCCTGATGTGCTACGCATCCTCCAACGCGCCTAGCCATGCTTCTGATCAGGTGGTCAATGTCCTCCTGTGGTATCTCATTCCAGGCAACCACCAACTCCTCTCGAAGTGCTTCTAGAGTCTGAGGAGGACGTTGCAAATTGAGCAATCTCCTACCCATCATATCCCACACGTGCTCAATTGGGGATAAGTCGGGAGATCTTGGTGGCCATGGTAACAATGTGACATCTTTATGTTGAAAGAAGTCTATTGTGACTCTTGCAACATGTGGTCATTATCTTGTTGGAAAGTTGGATCTGCCAGGGTGTCAAGATAGAGTAAACGATGGGGTTCTAGAACTTCGTGGATATAACGCTTCACGTTCATGTTACCTCTGATGAAGATTAAAGGTGACTTGGAACCATAAGCTATAGCACCCCAAACCATAACTCCAATAGTGTGATGAACATGTATTTCAACAAAAAACTGTGGATTCCTCCTTTCACCACGTCGCCTTCTAACCCTGGCACGACCATCGTGCATGCATAAACAAAATCGAGACTCGTCACTAAAGACAATACTGATCCATTCCTGATCCCAGAGTGACCGTTGTCTGCACCACTCAAGGCGATTACGTCGGTATTCTCGAGTTAAAGGGAGGACCCAGTGTGGCTGGTATGAAAACAAGCCAAAACTTCTCATTCGTTGGTAAACACTTCGCATCCCAATAGGTCTTCCGTGTTCTGCAAACCATTCATTTGCAATGGACCTGGTAGAGGAGAAACGGTCCCTTAAGGCCAATAATCTTAGGCGGCGATCTTCACGGTCTGTTGTTCTACGGCGGCGTCCAGTGCCCCTTGCTCTTTGCGTACGGCCTTCTCGAAGCCATGCCTGACAACACCTAACCACAGTGTCTACACTTCTTTGCACTCTAACTGCAATTGCCCGAAAAGAAAGTCCAGCTTCCCGAAGTCCCACTATACGGCCCCTATCAAACTCACTAAGTTGACGAAATCGTACAGGTCTCCGTACTCTAGGCATCGTAACCGATTGTAAAGGATGTGAAGAACCAAAATCCGCCAACGTTGATTATTTACTGCGGCTGAAATATTCATTTTTAGAGCGTTAGTGAATTAAAAAAAAGCAGTATAAAAACCGGAATGTCCAACTGATAAGATACATCCTAATCTTTCATTTTAAAATAAGAAATAAATGTTTGTTGCAGGTCTCTTTTTGAAAAGGCAGCGATGGCTAACCTGACTTTCGACATCACGAGCCAGATCAAGCACAACGCGTTCAACATTCACCAGCCTATTGCGATGCCCAAGGTCAAAAGTGCCTCGATAGCATCCTTCAACGGGGAAGTGTTCCCTTATGCCCTCATTGTACTAGCCAGCGTCATTTTCGTATTGGGCATCATCGGCATCATCTACATTTGCGTGTCTTGGTCTAAGTAAGTTTGACTTTCTTCCGCGGATACGGTCTATCATCGAAATAATAATAATAATAATAATAATAATAATAATAATAATAATTTACTCTAAAATACAGGGAACATGAAACGAGTGAATAAATATAATATATCCATAGGAGGACAACGCCTGTGCATGGATCATATGTATGTTGAATTCCAAAATATAATAAAATAGAGAGAAAAAAGAAATTATTGATAAGAATGGTAGAGCATTTATTGTGTAATATTTGAGATTATTTTATTAATTTGATTTCTCCCAATCGTGTTAATAAATTTTTTTAATTTTTTTTTGAAGCCTAATGTATTGCGTAATTGTTTTAAATTATTTGGTAAATGTTCGTACAATTTTGGAGCTATATACAGGTGACATCGTTTCATTAGGGATTTGTTTGGTTTAGGAACATTTTTTGCGCGTAATTTATATCTGGTTTTATGATTATGTTCAATTATGTCGTGTTCACTAATAGTTTTGTGATAATGAGTGATGGTATGTAAGAAGTAAAGTTGTTTACTATCATATACTTGTGCATCATTATATAAGTCATTAGTTGGGTATAATTTTGATTTGCCTAACATTGATTTTAAAATTCTTCTTTGAAGTACATCTAAATCGTTAAAGTATGACGTGCATGCAGCACCCCACACTACTATACCATATGTTATGTGTGACTCGACTAAAGCTTGATATATTATTCGTAGATAATATTCAGTTAATATACCGGTTAGAAATTTTATTTTATATGCTATGAATCTAATTTTCTTTAGTATGTGAGAAATATGTACATCCCATCTCAAGTGGGGATCTAGATAAATTCCTAAATATTTTGTATCATTAACTCTATTGATTTTTATATTTTTATCATTTACCTTAAACCGAAGGTGGTTATATTTTGGTAGATGATTAGATAGTGATGAAAATGGTAAAAAATGAGTTTTAGTAAAGTTAATTGTTAATTTTCGGTTATTAAACCACGGAATAATTTTGCAAAAGTCATTTTGGATAATATCTTTTAAGTCGTTCCAATCTTTACCTTTATAGAGTATAGCAGTATCGTCTGGAAAATAGAAGAGAGATCTAAGGAAAGTTGTTTATATGAAACTTCAGTACTTCATAATTTCTTATTTATTACATAAGACTACTATAGTTGTCGTCACCGTTCTTGGCGGTGACGTCATCAACGCCATATGAAATGAGTAAACAGATCGAGTCTCCGTACCATGGGCGGATCTTCACATCTGCTACTCTCCCTGGTACGCATAAAGTAGGTAACGTTGGACCGCTGTTTTCATTCTCTTCCTGGAAATTACAACTTTGTACAATTTTATATTGAAAATTGATAACATATACAACTTGAATTGTACACCGGTGTCAATTAAGTTGTCACTCTGACAAATATGATTTGAGTTGACGAGAAGGGCTAAGTACGTCTCTGCCCGAAATCATACCGCTCCAACAGAAAATGAAATCAGCTGATGCGCTACCGAGCAGACGCACCAGCCCAAACATTCACCGAAAATGTTTGTTGAAAATGTGCCCGACGGACAACGTGCGGATTTTCTACTGACCAAACATGAGCGTTGCGAAAGTTATTCACCCCATTACGCGTGAATGTAGATTCGTCTGTCACCAATATGCACTTCAAAAAGTCCGGATTATTGTCATGTTGATGCAACAACCACTCACAAAACCGCACTCTTGCTGGAAAATCGTCAGGTTGAAGGGCTTGTACACGTTGGACGTGAAACGGATACAGCCCCTTTTCACGCAGCGTTTGCCACACTCTAGTTTTTGATACTTGCACTTCTCTAGCCACGTCTCTAGTGCTTGTTGAGAGATTCTCGTCTACGCGATTACCTCTACACGCGTGACCGTAACCGTCGGTTGAAGGTTGCATACTGACCTGACACACTGATCCCGACCCAGTTCTGTCGTCGGGTTGAGCTAGTGTCCTAGTACCACTCGGGGTTGTCGCGGCTACAGGACGGTATTCAGATATTTTTGATGTTGCAGAGCCCTTTATCTCGGTTCCCTTAAGACATTGGTGTATATGGTACTAAGAAAAATTGCTTATGTTTTCAAGATCTACACGTCGTGTAAAGGAAAACCCCAACTTTGCGGATACCCTGTATAATGCATTACCATCGAGTGCTAACCCTCTTGATTTCAGTAATTTCAAAAAGCAAAAAAACAAATCATCTCCAATGCTCAAATCCGAAACCCCCAGTTAGTTCAGCCATATTCCTGTATATACAGGGTGGTCCATAAGTTCTTTGAAATTTCAAATTTGAATAAAATTTAACGGGTGAGCGTGAGCGGCGCGGGCGAGGTGGGGGCAGTATCTTCAGTGTCTGGGAATTCAGTCGCCATGGAGTGTTTCACTGGAGCGGATCGTGCTTTTTGTGTGCGCGCGTTTTATCAAAATAATGATTCGGCAACCATTGCGCGGCGTAAATATCGAGAATACCACAATTTACACAATTTTACAAAGTGTCCAACAGCTCAAACGATTAAGAACTGGGTTGCTAAGTTCGAAGAGACTGGTTCGACGTTAGATAAACAGCGGTGGGGTCGACCAAGGACAACTCGTATTGAAGAAAACATCAACATTGTGGCACAGTCTGTTCGTCAAAATCGTACCCAGTCTACTCGTAAGCGTTCCAGTGCACTAAACGTACCCAGAACATCTTTACAGCGGATTTTAAGGAAAGATTTACGTCTGCACGCTTACAAAATTCAGTTAGTGCAGGAATTAAAAGATAATGACGCTATTCAGAGGCTAAACTTTGCGAATGAAATGTTGAATCGATTTTCTTCGCTCAATAATGTGTTGTTCTCGGACGAGGCTCACTTCCATTTAAACGGGCATGTAAATAAACAAAATTGCCGTTATTGGAGCCCCGAAAATCCAAGGCGTAAGCATCAGAAGCCCTTACACAGCCCTAAAGTTACAGTTTGGGCTGCTATGTCAGCGCATGGCATCGTAGGCCCTTATTTTTTTGAGGACGACAGAGGTCGCGCATTAACTGTTACTTCGGAGCGGTATGTAGCAATGATAGAAGAGTTTGTGACACCAGTGTTGCAGAATTTTCCAGGCTATAATACGCAGACCTGGTTTCAACAGGACGGAGCAACTGCCCACACCTCCAACACTTTATGCTCGTCGTCTGTCAACTTTTTCCCAGCAAAGTAATTTCTCGAAGAGGAGACATTTCCTGGCCACCACGTAGTCCAGATTTGACCCCAATGGACTTCTTTTTTTTAAAACATAATTCCCATTCAATAAAGATGATAACAAAATATAATAATTCTTCATAATGTAACTAGTTTAGTTTTATTCCTTTTTTTCCAGCTCAAAGGACTTATGGGCCACCCTGTATTATATAAATCGTTTTGTACACTCGTGTCTACGTTGTGCAATTTTTAATTAAATTCTGGAAGAATATTTTGTTGAAATTGTTTTTAATATTCCAGTGCTAGTTGTTTTCAAGGCTAAACTTCGCCTGAAATAAAAGTCGTTACATATAAAGGAATCTTCTAAGATTTTCTAAAAATTTTCGAGTGCCACCTTTAGGAAAAATACAGTAATTACGCATGCATTTCATCAGTCCGATTTCAGCCTGCTAACTTGACCCATCCAAAAAGGTCCGACCTTTTTGAGAATCACTGTTCAATTTATTTCAATATGTACATAACTTCATTGTTATATTGAGATTCTTGAAATTTGTACAGTAACAACGCAGCGTTGGGTACATTGATCTGAACCATATTGTTTGAAATGTCGGCTGCCTGTGGTTTTATTTTGCGAACAACACCTTGATTTGATACCTGGTAAGGATTACTCAATGGTGTATTATTACGAAGCGGATTAGTTCCAGTAATTCTGCCACACACGAATATACAGTATATTCAGATAAGAGATAGACCAGACATAAACAAGACCACGTGATCATCGAACGCTGTAACATTCGGCAGGGACGTATTAAGAGTCACGCAGTACATATTTTAGATAGTAGATGCTGCTTTGCGTAACTTTGTAGTAAATTAGCACAATTCGATGTGTATACGATTGGTGATGGATATAGGATCATGTGGGGGTGGGGTAAGAAATATATAATGATGTAAATATACATAAGGGTTTCAAAATTTTCGCTTCGATTTCCAGCTTCGAATGCCGCCTGATGTTTGGTGAAATACAGTCGAATATAATCTCAAAATGGCGTTTAAATTAGCCTAAATTAAAAATAATCGTATATTTCTTAAAATTGCTTTTAGAATATTGATTAGTATATTTTTTGATTTCTAGGTAAATATGTAACCAAATTAAAACGTTCAAAACGTAAAAAAATGTGCATGGTTGGACATTGTCAGAAAGTGGATTCTTGAATAGGTTTTGCCAAAATAGGTTCAAAAATGTCAATAATTAATTAAAAAATACAGTAGCTTTATAATTACTTATAACTTACCGAATTTGATGAACGACATCTTTTATTGGAAAGATGAGCTTGATGAGCTTTCATCATCGCTACTGCCTGAAGCACCAACGTCAATAATGAATGGCTCGACTTGTTCCTCTAAAATATTGTCCAGTTCCCACATTCTCTTTTCAACTTTGTCTTTCACGTGCTTAATACAGTTTTCCCATTTTTGCGCTGTTATTAATTCTAGTGCTTCTTTGAAAAGTCCTTTGAGGTCACAAAATTTAAAAGTTGTATTGTGCTTAGCTATATAATTTTTAACCTCTGCCCATATGACCTCAATGGGATTGAGCTCGCAATGGTATGGAGGTAAATGGAGCACAGTTTTATTTTGACTTGCTGCCATTTCGTCAATGGCGTATTTTTGATATTCCGCCTTGTGATCCTTGACAATTCTTAATAATTGTACTTTCAGCATTGCTTCTTCAAAGTTGATATTTTTCGAGCGGAGCCAATTTTGAACATCAACTTTCCTTGAAGCCGTTGTTGGGACCTTCTCCATTCTTCGAGAATGATAAGGCGCATTATCCAACACAATTACTGCGTTTTCCTCTAAGTTCGGTAACATTTTTGAAAACCACTGTTCAAACGATTCGCCATTCATTTCCTCGTGGTAATCTCCAGTTTTCTTAGACTCAAAGCACCACAGACCGTCAAGAACAAATCCATCCTCACTGCCAATATGGCAGATAATGAGCCTTTTCCCTTTACCTGGAAATCGAAGTACTAACTGGTCTAGATTTATTTCAATAAGCGAACCTTTTTCAAATGTTTTCATCACATTCAGCGAAAAAACATTGAGACATGAGTATCAGATTGCTATAATTGGGATTATTTAGTCATATTGAAAGAAAGAATATTGAACGTCGTATGATTACTCAGCGCTTCACAATTTAATTTAAAGTTATAAACCTTTAAAAAATGAATGATCAGGAACCTGAAATACGCGCAAATATTAATATTAACAAATTATAACTTTATGAAGCTTAAAGTATGAATTAAAATGATTAGAAATATTAGGAACGGTACACAATATAAAACTTAGTAACTTTTTTTAAGTTTATAATATTCGACATATTTTAAGATTATATTAAAAGATTATTGAAATATCGAAAACAGATAAAAACATGGCTTAAAAAAGTTCTAACAAATGAAAATGACAATAAAACATCCACGCATTTTATCGAAAGTTATAAAAGTTTTGTTACTTGTAATATGTTTTATCTGCCCTCTGGAATTAATGTTTAGAACCTTGTTCCTAAGGTTTGAAAAACATCCGATTGTTGTCTATTACTCGTATTTACCTGCTGGATTTTTTAATCCGGTGGACAGTCCATCTAGAAAGGCCCTCCTGGATGAAGTTACAGAATCATCAACCCATACTTTACTTGTAGTGTGTCCTGCGTTTACCCACGTTTCATCAAGGTAATAAATCTTCCTGTTTTGATTTCTATATTTCCAAAATTTTTGTTAAATAATCCCTCCTCCATAGCACAATTTCTTCTCTATCCAGTAGTAAACTATTACGACCCCGTTTTTTCCATTTGAAATTTAAATGCTTCAGTAACGCATGGAAAGTTGATCGTTTGAAATTTGGCAACGTTGTATCTCCATTTACCTCCTGCAGTACTTTATCTATAGTAGGTATTTCATTCCTAAAGAAGAATTCATGCACTTTCCTCCTAATCGCATGCTTATCAGCTTCATCCAATGATTTAACAATTCTTTTGCGATGTTTACTGGTCATTGGCTCAGAAAAGGTGTGCTTTTTTTGTATTGTCTTAACACATTAAACACTGATGCGCGACACACCCCAACTTTGTGAGAAACCTTCACAACAATTTCTTTGATGGTTGATGCCTCGTTCTCCTCGCGCTCGATCTTATATATATTCAAAATGACCTCTTTCATTTCTGCACTCCGGTGTCTTTTTTTAGAGCGTTTCCTAGGTGGACTACAGGAGTTTACAACTTCATCGGCAGTATCTGTACTACTGGGCATTTTGCGCAAGCAGTTGATAACAATAACAATCAATAACAAGGTATAACAATAACAACGACAAACTCAACAACTTAATAAGATAACAAACGAAAACGTCCAAAGAAATATCAAATTGCAATGATGCACACGACATACGTAACACGTCTGAACCTGAATGTGACTCTGCCTTGATACGACTGCTCTGCCGCTCGGCATAGGCATTTAATTGCGAAATGACCAATGAGGGCTCCTGTTTTACGTCGAGACGGCGGCGTTAGCGTGAAAATCACCCGAACCTTTTGTTTACATCCGGTCTATCTCTTATCTGAATATACTGTAGTAATAAGAAACAATATGTGGTACATGCATGATGGTGCACCAGCGCATTTCAGTGTAATTATTTACAAACTGTTTATCCAAATCGTTGGATTGGCCGCGGTTAGCCGCAAGAATGGCCACCAAGGTCCCCAGACCTCAACAGTTCAATATTCGGAACACCCTGTACAAAGGGATATTGGTAGTCTTGCTTTGAATCGCAAAGAACGGTGACTACAACTATATCAAACGTTGCTTCATAATGACGTAAGAAATTAAACGGCTTTTTTATAAGCTCTAGTTTTCTGTATGCTTTACACTTTAAAACGGATCTATTTCTGTTCAGGTACAAATCATTCAAGGACCAACATTCGCATCACGCACGGCCTTATACTGTGCCTGCTAGTCCTGCCAGGTACGATTCGGTGTATGTGGAGCCGAACCTCAAAGAATATGAAACGCAGGTATGGCTTAATTTTAATGTAACTCCTATAGTCGCTGATCTATCTCCATTGAGGAGACCCAGCCCATGAGGGCAAACAATGTTTTGATCGAATTGAGATACGCATACATACGTACGTATTTTTCCATTCGACTCTAAGGACTCAAAAAATAAAGATTACTTTTAGGCAAACTTTCAATTCGAAAGTTAATACGGAAACCATATATGGATTTCAAAACTTAATTCTTATTCAACAAGTAAAACACTCCCTAAGTATACTAAGTGACACCCAGCTTAAATAGTTTTATTTTAATTAAATTTTGTATAAGTACTTAATGAAGCATAATAAGTAAATGATAAAAATTTCAAACCGATTGCACTGCTTTAAAGCCCTTTGACCTTTAGTAATGTGTGGATGCACCCTGATGTGCTACGCATTCTCCAACGCGCCTAGGCATGCTTCTGATCAGGTGGTCAATGTCCTCCTGTGGTATCTCATTCCAGGCAACCACCAACTCCTCTCGAAGTGCTTCTAGAGTCTGAGGAGGACGTCCTCCTACCCATCATATCCCACACGTGCTCAATTGGGGATAAGTCGGGAGATCTTGGTGGCCATGGTAACTATGTGACATCATTGTTGAAAGAAGTCTATTGTGACTCTTGCAACATGTGGTCGGGCATTATCTTGTTGGAAAGTTAGATCTGCCAGGGTGTCAAGATAGGGTAAAAGATGGGGTTCTAGAACTTCGTGGATATAACGCTGCACGTTCATGTTACCTCTGATGAAGATTAAAGGTGACCTGGAACCACAAGCTATAGCACCTCAAACCATAACTCCAACAATGTGATGAACATGTCTTTCAACAAACAACTGTGGATTCCTCCTTTCACCACGTCGCCTTCTAACGCTGGCACGACCATCGTGCATGCCTAAACAAAATCGAGACTCGTCACTAAAGACAATACTGTTCCACTCCTGATCCCAGTGTGGCCGGTATGAAAACAAGTCAAAACTTCTCATTCGTCCGTAAACACTTCGCATGCCAATAGGTCTTCCGTGTTCTGCAAACCATTCATTTGCAATGGACCTGGTAGTGGAGAAACGGTCCCTTAAGGCCAATAATCTTAGGCGGCGATCTTCACGGTCTGTTGTTGTATGGCGGCGTCCAGTGCCCCTTGTTCTTTGCGTACGGCCTTCTCGAAGCCATGCCTGACAACACCTAACCACAGTGTCTACACTTCTTTGCACTCTAACTGCAATTGCCCAAAAAGAAAGTCCAGCTTCCCGAAGTCCTACTATACGGCCCCTATCAAACTCACTAAGTTGACGAAATCGTACAGGTCTCCGTACACTAGGCATCGTAACCGATCGTAAAGGATGTCAAGAACCAAAATCCGCCAACGTTGATTCTTTACTGCGGCTGAAATATTCATTTTTAGAATGTTAGTGAATTAAAAAAAAGCAGTATAAAAAAACCGGAATGTCCAACTGATAAGGCTGAAAATTTTTTCACTTGTTATTTACAGTAAGATAAATACATTCACCAACTTTTATTAAAATAAAACCATTTAAACTGGGTGTTCGGATTAATATGTCATTTATACTACAACTATTTAAAACTGTAATGACTCATACGCGTGATCAACACGTGATCAGAGCTCGATCCCGGCTTCCTTCCAGTACAGCCGTATAGGGTACGACATATGTCGTTTCTGTGGCTTTGCGGTGGTCAACAGCACAGACAGAGATGGAAATAATGGCTGATTGGTCTCCGCCGGTAGAACCAATGAAATCAAAGACGCGCCTCGACCGGCAGACTCATAGGCGTCGGCAACGCATTGGAACGTGTTTCGTTGAGCGATCGCATATTGTGTGTTTTTATAAGAATTGTTGTGTGATTGTTATTGTTGTGGTTTCTGTGGTTACTGTTTTGGTTATACTTAACCATGGAGAGTACAAATGGTACGAGTGGAAGTACTGAAAGCCAGGGAACAAGTAGACGGCTTCGTAAACCACTGATTAGGGACGCGAAAGAAATCGTGCTCAACGTGTTCAATTATCTGAACAGAATTATGTCGCACGGAGATGCACTCGCGCGTTGTGAAAGTATGACAGGCGTGTGTGAAAGCGGAATTGTATGAAAAAATTAAACAGCACAAACCTGCGAACATTAGTTACGTGACTGATGAGATCGCCCGTCAATGTGGTGTCACTGTGCTGCGGTTACCGCCCTACCACTGTGAACTGAACCCAATAGAGCTCATCTGGGCTCAAGTGAAGGGTTATATTGCGCGCCATAACACAACCTTCAAATTACCAGACGTAAAGGTTTTACTTGAGACTTTCATACAGCTAGTAACGCCCGAAGCTTGGCAGAATGCTATCCGTCATGTTGTGAAGGAAGAAACAAAAATGTGGCAGCTTGACCACCACATCGACACCATCATAGAGCCAGTTATAGTCAATTTCAACGAGGAAAGCGATAGCGACAGTTTATTACTGTCAGATGTAAGTGGAAGCGACGATGAATAAAGGTAATTTCCAAATTTTTGACTTACAATATGTTTCAAACCACTCTTTATTAAGCATGTAACAAATCTAGTTCACCCATGTTAAACATTCATACCCCGCCTATGAACAGCCGACTACTGGTAGTTAAGTGATGTTCACGTGAACATCGATGAGTCATTACAGTTTTAGGTAGTAATAGTATAGTATATTTGTCATCAAAAAATATTGCTTACTAAGTTTTCTTTTCAAAGTTATCTTTTACAGTCAAGATATACCTACCTGTAATAAAGATTGTTTCATTATTTCACGGATGTTGTCACGATATCTAAAGCGGCCTACACACCTTGCGATGCCTGAAACTACACTATGTTTCATGCAACACAAGAACAATAGGGTGAAGTTATCTTTGAAACTAACTGGTGGGTTATTATTTGCTTGACGATTAGAATGACGTAGGGGAGACCGGTGCTAGTTGTCACAGTTTTCAGTAATTCTTTTTTTTATTCGATCTGAAGCGTTATATGCACATATTTGGTGCATAACTAATATAGTTGATCATTTGGGAACACCATGTAAAATCGATAAGGCTGTAACAATATTAAATTAGAATGTTTCGACATACAGAAAAAAATGTGACAAGTTGCCCCTTGCTGGGGCTGGATGTCACATAGCTTGGGGTTGGTTGTCACTTGTATTTTAGATCATTAATAATTTATATCATACTTTTAAACATATTTATTGTTACAAATAAGACATAAAGATTTTGCATTTAGATACCAAATTTTCATGAGAAAAAAGTAGAAGAGTTTTTTCTTACAATTAGTCACTATCGCAGTTATGACATATGTAAAGTTCGCGTTCATCAGTGCACGCATCATGAGATCAACCATTACACGATGAGCATTTCACCCATTCTTCATTTGGCGCGCTGTTAGAAAAAGATTCAAGACAAATCAATCAAAAACTTGCTTCTCCATCAGTTTCATTATCTGAACAGGACTTTTTCTGAATCAAAGCGTCCCTTTTCACTGTTTCCCTGTTCCTCTTTTTCTAGTTCGAGCATTTATTTTTCTCTTTCTCTAATTCATCTTTTACTGGAGTGTCAGTGAGATTTGCAGTCCCTGGTTTACGACGGGAAACTCGATTCATTTTTCTTGCCGATGCCTTTGGATAAGGTCTTAAACTTTCTGGAAATACTATACTTCCCGCATGCAGCCTTACTAAACTACAACAGCAGGGACCATCAAAACTAGTTTCATTAGCTGTTTTGCCCTCTGGTATATTATCTATTGCTTCCTGCGTGTTAATATTTATCAGACTTACAGTGCTATCTTCGTTCAAGATACCCGGATCTGGCCTTTCAGTGACAGAGCTCGCAAGAAAGTCATCATCCATAAAAATATCTCTGTTGTAAGGAAACACACCCGACACCCGAAATCCAGACTGTATATTTTTGGGAGTGAATGCGAGGGGGTATGCAATAGAGACCACTGAAGGTGTGTTGTATATAGTCATGGTCTTACCCGGGATTATTTAAAACCCGAGCATCGCAGGAAGTATTTACGTATGTTTTGAAAGGGCCGAAAACGGCGCGGTCAAGAGCTTGAAGTTTATGTGAACAGTGAGGGTAAAAATAGAGCATGACAATACCATTTGCTTTGGCAAAATTCGGTCCTTCTTTACTCAGATGTGATCCATGGTTATCTAGTAAACGCAGGTCCGGTCTTTCCACAGTACTTTTCTCATGAAGGTGAAAAAATCTAAGAAACTTCAAGAAATGTAACTCTTTCATCCAACCTGATGGGTTTGCAGAACCTTGTGAGCCAGGAGGAGCCGAATTAAAAAAATGTGGTTTGAAATGTACCCGTGGAAAAATTAAAAAAGGAGGTATGGAATTTCCAATAGCTGATACTGCACTTGCTAAAGTAACAAGAGTTCCTCTTTCTGATGAAACTATCGAACCAACCTGTTTGAATCCTCTTCTGGCAACAACGCGGTCGGGTCTTTGGACAGTTGTAATCCCAGGTTCGTCATTTTCCTGATTTCGTGAGGCTCTAATTTATATCTTTCCATAACTGAAGCGAAATTGTCAAAAAATGCGTTGACGTCCGTTTTATTGAAACTACTGGCTCTTGCTAAACTAGTTGCTTCCCGTTTGCTAATAGACAGTACAGGATGACGTTTCAGCAACGCACTAAACCAGTCAGGACCAGCTATTTTATGGAGCTTCCAATTTTCCGGCATTTTCAAGGAAATAGCATTAGCAAATTCATGTGCCAGTCCTTGGGTGATAATCCAAAATAAATATCAGATGCTTTGAGTACATATTCCACTAGATTCAGTTCAGTTCAGGCTCAAATACTAAATGATTTTTGATGTAGCCAACTGAAATTGACGGCGCATCAACTCGATCAAGTAATTCAGACTCTGGAATTTTCTTACAGTATCTTGCTAAAGTACGGTATTTTACATTGAAGTCAGCTGCCGCTTTTCTTATTGAGGATCCTAATCTCACTAATCTAGCAGCTCTTAAAAGTACGTCAGGTGGCGCTTCGCCGTTCTCAGTCTTCCTTTTGAAATTTCGAACCATGCTTATGTAACCTGAAAATATTAAAAAAATACATTGTATACATATACCTACGTAGAATGATGTGCAAAGCTAATCGTCTAGTGTGGGGGCTGGTTGTCCCTTGTGACAAGAGGCCCCCGTTAATTTGAGACAACCTGCCCCACTAGATAATTAATTTTTAAGGTTAGATAGCGTCACTAAATTAACAAATTCAAACTCAATACTTACTTTAAGTCGTATTCGGATTATTGAAGAGCAAAATAAATTCAACAGTTGATGTAATCTTGAAAACACAAATTATCTGGCAAACGAAAAATTTACTCAGGTTAGGCGATTTGTTTACTTTTGCGCGTGCGACCTTAATCTACCAACGACAACTTTCGTACTGAATACAAGTGTTCTGCGCGGACGCAGAAACGATGTGTAGCGCGCCAGGCAACTACATCTTGCGGAGCTGCTGAGATTTAACAATTGTGACAACCAACCCATGTGACAACCAGCCCCGGTCTCCCCTACGTTTTGCCAACACCAGTTTTATTAGCAACAGTTGGGGCACTGTTTACTAAAAGAAAAAGGAAATAAAAAAGAAATCGCCCAAAAGATATAGAAAGAAAACGTTATTCAAATGCAAATTTATTTGAAGACCTTAACCTACATGATCCAGCGTTTATGAACTCTTCCCAAAATTGTCGATCAACTTCCGTCATGGAATTTTTACACACACACACACACAGACAAACAACAAACGGACCTCTAAAATGACGCGTGAAAATGAATATCGTCTTGACATCTATACACGATGAAACTTGCATCAGCATCACCGACTCGGCGCCATGGCTCGTCGACCAAAATCGGATTCCAGACTCTGGATAGCTGCAAGCCTCAACTGATTCCAAATACGAGATTCGGTACTACAAACAGTGTTACTTGCCTCATAAAATGTAAGAGTCGATGCCTGCATCGTAGCATTCATTAAGGCGGCTCCGACGCAGTGAGTTTCAAGCCATTTACAAGGGTTCAGTTGCTTCACAACTGACACTCCATTTTTCAATATTTTTCAATGAAATTCATACAGTATTTTGAGAAAATGATTGCCCAAGGTGCTATACGAGCACTTTTTGAAATTTTGATTTGCACAAGTTTTATGATGGGTTGAAGTGCGCACTTTTTCTGTTCAACTTCGCGATTTTTTTAAAAATAACCTAGTGAAAAAAATGAAAAAGTGGCTTTATAGCACCGTGTGGGGTTTTGTTTTCAGCACACTGTGAAAATTTCATCCAAAAATATCAAAAAATAAAGCGTCAATTTCGAAGCGCGCAAACCTTTACAAATCGTATTTTGGACGAATTTTGTCTACTGTTTCGTGCTGCCAACCCAAGCGTAGCGGCGCAATGTACGGACTAAGAAAGGACGTATTCAGATAATTTGGTGGCCCTATTTCATATAATATCGCGTAGATAAGACGTTCTGCAAATAGGTACTCATAATCGCGATCGCTGATACTCCTCGATTTTAAAGCCGTTTTACTTCCCACGTCATTGGCGAGGAAGTATTGTAATCGCGAAAAATTTCTAAAATGAGATGTTATGTTTTTTTAAGTCATATGGCATCTACATCACGAAAAACTGTATCACTCATCATCAACTTGGAAATTACCGCTCGGATATTTATGAAATTTCTCTCTCAATGACCTAATTTCACTTCCCGGATATTATAGAACAAAACTGCTAGTGCTTCTCCATTAGAGGGCAGTTTTGAACCGGTAATTTGATGCTTTACATCCCCTATTAAAAATATTCCAGTTTTAGAACTGCGTAATTCCTTAAGATAAGTTTTGACATGTTCCAGCGCAACTCGGCACGGGTTGCCCTTGTTCTAGGTACATCAATTTTTTTTACAAATGTTTTGACATTGTTCAAGGAAAACTAGGGGGTACGCGTTTGAAAAAACTTTCATTTGTTTGGTATATTCTAATCTCCATGTTTCTAACCGCCAAATAAAATCATGGATGTTGAAGAAAATTTTGTTTTCCAATTATCATCTCGGTGTCCGTTAACTCGTTTTACAACTCTGTACTTTGGAAGAAGTAGCCGAAAACTAACTTTCTTCAGCATTTATAGCTTTGTTTGGCGACCAAAGCATGGCGGTGAATATGTATAACAGCTAAATAAATATTTTTGATAATATTTTTTATAGGTACTACAAATGTGTGTACCTGTGGACGACCCAGACGATTACAACGATCTGCATTTAGACTTCAGCGATAAGAATCACACTTTCAACTTAGATAACGTTAGTTATATCAGTAAGGATAATACGAGTAAGAAATATGGTGAGTTTTTGAAACATTCTAAGATCATTTAGTGAAATTAGCTTTCCACAGTTGCAGTATCTAAAGCTATTTTGATCAATCGTACAGTCAAAAAACATACCATAGTCATTGTTTTCAATATTTGCTTTCAGGACAACAAAGTCCAGCAAGCAGCGAATCAAACACAACGGCAAGGGCGTCTAGCGTCGGAGATGCCCACATGTCGAAGAACAACGAAAACTCACGACGCGATCATGTATATAGGTACGTATGAAAAAACCACGAGACATGTGGAAACTGTCACTAGTTATGCCACTTCCTAAAACCAACAAGTTAGTGACTTAAGACCTATTAGCCTTTTACCAGTTCTTTCCTAACTGTTAGAGAAAATAATCTATAAACAACTTTTAGAATTTATTTGTAATATACTATAACTATCTAAAACTGTAATGACTCATCGATGTTCACGTGAACATCACTTAACTACCAGTAGTCGGCTGTTCATAGGCGGGGTATGAATGTTTAACATGGGTGAACTAGATTTGTCACATGCTTAATAAAGAGTGGTTTGAAACATATTGTAACTCAAAAATTTGGGAATTACCTTTATTCATCGTCGCTTCCACTTACATCTGACAGTAATAAACTGTCGCTATCGCTTTCCTCGTTGAAATTGACTATAACTGGCTCTATGATGGTGTCGATGTGGTGGTCAAGCTGCCACATTTTTGTTTCTCCCTTCACAACATGACGGATAGCATTCTGCCAAGCTTCGGGCGTTATTAGCTGTATGGAAGTCTCAAGTAAAACCTTAACGTCTGGTAATTTGAAGGCTGTGTTATGGCGCGCAATATAATCCTTCACTTGAGCCCAAATGAGCTCTATTGGGTTCAGTTCACAGTGGTAGGGCGGTAACCGCAGCACAGTGACACCACATTGACGGGCCATCTCATCAGTCACGTAACTAATGTTCGCAGGTTTGTGCTGTTTAATTTCGCTTTCACACATGAATCGTCAAACGGGATTCCTTTTTCGCGCAACCATTGCTGCATGTCACTTTTTCGAGATCCCATAGTCGGTACACGTTCGGCTCGACGACTATGGTAGGAAGCATTATCCATGACGATCACAGAGTTGGGCTCAACTCGCTGAAGCACCCCTTGAAACCAGCTCTCGAAGCAGCTGGCATTCATTTCGTCGTGGTAATCACCTCCTTTCTTAGAGACGAAAATCAAGTCACACTCTTCTAAAAAGCCACTATCGCTACCAATATGAGTTACGATCAATCTTTGACCTTTTCCTGATGGTCCACGAAGACCTGTTGACAAACCTTCAATGCTTGCTTATCGGTTACTCACTACGTTTTTGTCCATCCAGGTTTTTTTAACTGTGTGACCTGCATTTACCCATGTCTCGTCCAAATAATAGATTTTTCTGCTTTGTCGCCTATATTCAATCATTTCGCGTAGGTATTTTCGACGCCAGGCGTCTGTTTCAGGTCTCTCTGTCAATACTGACTTCCGATTACGCGTTTCGTAACGAAAATTAATTTCGTGCAGGGATTTCCTCATTACCTCGACGCTCATTTGGGGTATAATTTCATTTTCCTTGATCGCTGCATGTACAGCCTTAAGGGTTTATATCTCATTCCTAAAGAAGAATGAATGTACGGTTCGCCTTAACGCCGTTTTGCTATCGTCATCCAATTTAACGGCCTTTCGTCCCTTCAAATCAAACTTTGGATCAGTAGTAGCTCCAGTTTTCTTCTTTTCATGCACCACCCTGCGAATGGTCCACTCTGGAACGCCTGTCATACTTTCACAACGCGCAAGTGCATCTCCTTGCGACATTGTTCTGTTCAGATAATTGAACACGTTGAGCACGATTTCTTTCGCGTCCCTCTTCAGTGCTTTACGAAGCCGTTTACGTGTTCCCTGGCTTTCAGTACTTCCACTCGTGCCCTTTGTACTCTCCATGGTTAAGTATAACCAAAACAGTAGCCACAGAAACCACAACAATAACAATCACACAACAATTCTTACAAAAACACACAATATGCGATCGCTCAACGAAACACGTTCCAATGCGTCGCCGACGCCTATGAGTCTGCCGGTCGAGGCGCGTCTTTGATTTCATTGGTTCTACCGGCGGAGAACAATCAGCCATTATTTCCATCTCTGTCTGTGCTGTTGACCACCGCAAAGCCACAGAAACGACATATGTCGTACGCTATACGGCTGTACTGGAAGGAAGCCGGGATCGAGCTCTGATCACGTGTTGATCACGCGCCTGAGTTTTAAATAGTTGTAGTATAACTGAGGAGTAGTTCGGCTTTCGAAAAGCGAGTAGGATTGTTTCTGTACTATCTTCTATAGCTGATGATATACTCTGCGATTTGGATAACAACCTGGCAACAGTTCTTGTTTCTCTCGATTTTTGTAAGGCATTCGAGCATTCGACACCATAAAGCCATAAGCCATTAAATACTTCTAGCCAACCATCGATTTTATAAGCCGACACCTGGTTTCCTAGACTCGTATCTTAAAAAAAGACAGCAACAGGCGGTTCTGGAGAAAATCTTCAGGGGCACCACAAGGTTCAGTCCTAGGGCCCCTCTTGTTCTTAATGTATACTTTTGATTCGATCGTCAAAATGAAAAACTGGAGTGTAACTTGTTATGACGATTATACTCAATTATTGTTAAGCTTTCCACCTGATGATTTCAAAATGGCTGAGGCTAAAATAAATATTGACCTCGAAAGCATTAATAAGTATTATGGTATTAGTAACATGAAACTCAATCCACAAAAGTCAAATGTACTATTTTGAAAGAGAGAGAAACGAAGACGTCTAAAAGTAAGCCTGAACTTGGAACTAAGCATATAAATAAAATTTAATCATCTATGCAAAAGTTCGGGTCTACTCATAGACGAAGATTTACGTTTCAACACGCATGTTAGCAGCGTCATGAAAACATGCTATTTTAGGCTGAAACTATTATTATATAGTAATAGGAACTTCCTCATTTTAAAACAAAAAAGGGATTATGCGAATCATTATTTCCAAAATTTTATATGGAATTATAGTGCATTACTCTTGCTCAGATCAAATGTCAAGCGTAACTCAAAATGATAAACAAACCATGGGCGTAGTGAAGAAAAGTATTTACATATTAAGTAAATTCTTTTAGTCAAATTTCTTCTAAAAGTAGTAGAAACTAATCTGATGTACCTATTAAAGTCTACTTTAAGCTTTAAATCAATAAATCTTCAAAACTACTTAACTGAAGCTCATGTATTTTACATCATTATAAAGGGAATTGAAAGATCTTTAAAATAAGGTATCACTCGACCCCCCTTTCCATTTAAGATTTTAGGGTTTTTGTTACCCCCGCCCAGGGGGTGCACATGTTAACACGTGATTTTTTGCCATTTTTCAAAAAAAAAAACTGAGCTGCCAGTAAATATGTCTGTTTCTTTTTCGATGCGCCATCCTGTATAATATTAATTCAATATTCTTTGTTACAGGTCATCTGACGAAGATGATATGAATGCCAGTTCTTCGAATGATAATGTGATGTTTAAAGAAAAGAAAGACTATTTGAATATAACTTACGGTTACGGAGATCATTCTCCTGTCGAGACGACAACCGAATTGTAAATGCTCCTTTTAAATAGTCAGATGTAACTAATTTATGTTTTAATTTTGTAAGAAAGGTTTATAGGTTAAATTTTTTATAATAAATTTTATTCTTATCCTGATGTATTCTTGGACCCACTCCCACTTCAAAAGGGGTACTTTAAAAGTAGTTGTCATGGTGGAGGTACCAAGTATCTAAGTTTGTCTTTGGCCGTAGGTTTTTCATAGACTCTATGACTTTAGGCAGGCAATGTTCCGTGTACCACTTAGCTGTGACTGTCTTCTCGATCTGAAAAATACAGCTATCATTTTTTTCTCAACAGGTCGGATTTTCTGATAGCTCATCACCAAAGACCCAAACCTTGTTCACATACCGGGATTGCCGCTTATCAAACATTTTCAGCATCTCCCGGCATCAAGTCGTACGGTGAGTCTTCTGCTCTTCCGTCAGACTATGCGGTACCTAGAGAGAACAAAGTTTCCTTTACGTCTAAATAGACACGCAGAATTGAATGAGTTGTTGGCCCATGAAGGTCACAGCAGTAATTATTTTCTCTGTTACTGAATTCGCGGCATTTCTTACCTCTGAGTGTCCTCCAGAATGAAATTTGGACTTCTCTGTACCACCTGAATATAGTCGTACGATGAGGACAATGATTCTTTAATGCAAGCGTCCTTTGTTAAAAGCACTGGTCTATGCTTAAACCACGCGTAGTCTTATACCGTAAAACTACCATTATCTCACTACGTGACCACGATGCCATAGTCCGCAGTCCCAAATGGCGGCTACTATGCACTCATGGACATATCTCAACATGCAGCCTCCTAAGTCCGTTTGTCATATCGCAAAACTCTTATAGTACCTTGTACGTAGGCTAGTTTTCGTTTTGTACCTTGAATTGGCCTTGCAAAGTTTTGTAGGTTATAAATAAATGAAATACTCCGCTTATATGTCATTTGCAAAATGTCGAGATGAAAATGAGATTTCAAGGTTTAAAGGTGTGCAATATTCTACCAACGGTTTCTAGGCAGTAAAGAATCAACGTTGGCGGATTTTGGTTCTTGACATCCTTTACGATCGGTTACGATGCCTAGAGTACGGAGACCTGTACGATTTCGTCAACTTAGTGAGTTTGATAGGGGCCGTATAGTGGGACTTCGGGAAGCTGGACTTTCTTTTCGGGCAATTGCAGTTAGAGTGCAAAGAAGTGTAGACACTGTGGTAAGTGTTGTCAGGCATGGCTTCGAGAAGGCCGTACTCAAAGAGCAAGGGGCACTGGACGCCGCCGTAGAACAACAGACCGTGAAGATCTCGCCGCCTAAGGTTATTTTCCTTGAGGGACCGTTTCTCCACTACCAGGTCCATTGCAAATGAATGGTTTGCAGAACACGGAAGACCTATTGGCATGCGAAGTGTTTACCGACGAATGAGAAGTTTTGGCTTGTTTTCATACCGGCCACACTGGGTCCTCCCTTTAACTCGAGAACACCGACGTAATCGCCTTGAGTGGTGCAGACAACGGTCACTCTGGGATCAGGAATGGAACAGTATTGTCTTTAGTGACGGGTCTCGATTTTGTTTAGGCATGCATGATGGTCGTGCCAGGATTAGAAGGCGACGTGGTGAAAGGAGGAATCCACAGTTTTTTGTTGAAAGACATGTTCATCACACTGTTGGAGTTATGGTTTGGGGTGCTATAGCTTATGGTTTCAGGTCACCTTTAATCTTCATCAGAGGTAACATGAACGCGCAGCGTTATATCCACGAAGTTCTTTCACCCTATCTTGACACCCTGGCAGATCCAACTTTCCAACAAGATAATGCCCGACCACACGTTGCAAGAGTCACAACAGACTTCTGTCAAGATAATGATGTCACATTGTTACCATGGCCACCAAGATCTCCCGACTTATCCCCAATTGTGCACGTGTGGGATATGATGGGTAGGAGATTGCTCAATTTGCAACGTCCTCCTCAGACTCTAGAAGCACTTCGATAGGAGTTGGTGGTTGCCTGGAATGAGATACCACAGGAGGACATTGACCACCTGATCAGAAGCATGCCTAGGCGCGTTGGAGAATGCGTAGCACATCAGGGTGCATCCACACATTATTAAAGGTCAAAGGGCTTTAAAGCAGTGCAATCATTTTGAAATTTTTATCATTTACTTATTATGCTTCATTAAGTACTTATACAAAATTTTATTAAAATAAAACCATTTAAACTGGGTGTTCGGATTTATATGTCACTTAGTATATTATGGTATTTTAACTTCTTCTCTCACATGTGCGCCATCTAGTATGATGTGGAAAAGGCATACCTTCCTACAAATACGAACACATAAATCGCTGCCAAGCTGCCATTCGCATAGTATTGATCCTGGTGCGGTGCGAGGCTCTACGAACGGCACTAAGTCATGCAACCAGTCGTACATTTTCATCAATGTCTTATTCAGTATCTTTGATAGATATTATCGTTTATTAAGCGACTTATGAAGGTTAATAATTTATAGCGAAGGCGGAACATTGGTCAAGATACTCCAACAAACACCTCTGGCTGCAAAACTTCACCTCTAATAATAATCAGCGCCAAAGAGACTCCGCAAGATCTTAACGGGAACTGGCTAGCACCTATCAAATAAAGACAGATCTTTGAGCCGAACGAATGCTGTCTCGTTTGATATCGATAGCATGGACCGTTTCTGAGAAAGACATCAGTACGGCACCAAACCCAGTAGACAGGTTAGTCCGGGATCAAATCAAAAAATATACTAAGTAACATATAAATCCGACCACCCAGTTTAAATGGTTTTATTTTAATAAAAGTTTGTACAACTACTTAATGAAGCATAATAAGTAAATGATAAAAATTTCAAAATGATTGCACTGCTTTAAAGCCCTTAGACCTTTAATAATGTGTGGATGCACCCTGATGTGCTACGCATCCTCCAACGCGCCTAGGCATGCTTCTGATCAGGTGGTCAATGTCCTCCTGTGGTATCTCATTCCAGGCAAACACCAACTCCTCTCGAAGTGCTTCTAGAGTCTGAGGAGGACGTTGCAAATTGAGCAATCTCCTACCCATCATATCCCACACGTGCTCAATTGGGGATAAGTCAGGAGATCTTGGTGGCCATGGTAACAATGTGACATCATTATGTTGAAAGAGGTCTATTGTGACTCTTGCAACATGTGGTCGGGCATTATCCTGTTGGAAAGTTGGATCTGCCGGGGTGTCTAGATAGGGTAAAAGATGGGGTTCTAGAACTTCGCGGATATAACGCTGCGCGTTCATGTTACCTCTAATGAAGATTAAATGTGACCTGGAACCATAATCTATAGCACCCCAAACCATAACTCCAACAGTGTGATGAACATGTCTTTCAACAAAAAACTGTGGATTCCTCCTTTCACCACGTCGCCTTCTAACCCTGACACGACCATCGTGCATGCCTAAATAAAATCGAGACTCGTCACTAAAGACAACACTGTTCCATTCCTGATCCCAGAGTGACCGTTGTCTGCACCACTCAAGGCGATTACGTCGGTGTTCTCGAGTTAAAGGGAGGACCCAGTGTGGCCGGTATGAAAACAAGCCAAAACTTCTCATTCGTCGGTAAACACTTCGCATGCCAATAGGTCTTCCGTGCTCTGCAAACCAATCATTTGCAATGGACCTGGTAGTGGAGAAACGGTCCCGTAAGGCCAATAACCTTAGGCGGCGAGATCTCCACGGTCTGTTGTTCTACGGCGGCGTCCAGTGCCCCTTGCTCTTTACGTACGGCCTTCTCGAAGCCATGCCTGACAACACCTAACCACAGTGTCTACACTTCTTTGCACTCTAACTGCAATTGCCCGAAAAGAAAGTCAAGCTTCCCGAAGTCCCACTATGCGGCCCCTATCAAACTCACTAAGTTGACGAAATCGTACAGGTCTCCGTACTCTAGGCATCGAAACCGATCGTAAAGGATGTCAAGAACCAAAATCCGCCAACGTTGATTCTTTACTGCGGCTGAAATATTCATTTTTAGAGCGTTAGTGAATTAAAAAAAAGCAGTATAAAAACCGGAATGTCCAACTGATAAGGCTGAAAACTTTTTCACTTGTTATTTACAGTAAGATAAATACATTCACCAACTTTTATTAAAATAAAACCATTAAAAATGGGTGTTCGGATTTATATGTCACTTAGTATAGGTTTTTGTAGCTAAACCATTTATGAAATAAATTTCGATTCAATATTTTAAGTAGAGGTCATTCAACAAGCTGTGTAATTTTTCGCTAGTTTAAGAGATATCTTATATGAAATCTGCTATATTCATATCCGTTACTACAAAAACGCATTCCGGTTGATCGAATTTTCTCACTGAAGCAAAATTTGCTACTCGAATCATAGAATGCGGCCTTAATATCCTAGGGAACATTTTCTATAGGAACATAATGTATGACATTATTTTTTGTTCTACATACAAGAACTCCTGTACACAGGGTATTTTAAATGGTAAAAAGTACTTTTCATAGTTCTGGTTACGATGTATATGCTTTAAGATGCATGGTTATGTTTAGGAAGGACATCCCTTGGACTCATGGTTAGGTCACCCTACTCGCTACAGATAAGAAAATGTTGATCATCCAGCAGGCATACAGGGTGGCACATCGAAAACGAAACAGACGCATTTACTGGCAGCTCATTTTCTTTTTTAGAAAAACGCTCAGACCCGTCGATTTTGTTGTCGAGGGGGACACAAGTTTGGCAAGTTCAGCCTCCTAAGCGGAGGTGACACCACCCCCAACATCTTAAATGGAAAGGGAGGTCGAGTGATACCTTATTTTAAAGGTCTTTCAATTCCCTTTATAATGTTATAAAATTACTGTACTTCAGTTCAGAAGTTTTGACGATTTATTGATTTAAAGCTTAAATAAGACTAATACATCATCATTAGTGGAGATCAATACATTTGGCAGCAAAGTAATTTAAAAGTGAAGAACGAACTGACCCGTTAGGCCACCATGACTCTCCATGCAATAATAAAGATTTTGCTCAAAACGTTGCCGCACATTTTGCAATATTTGAGGAGTAATTTGAAGGCACTCATTCACAATTCCTTGTCGCAGG